CCTAAAGCATTCCTAGGAAAATGCTAGAAAAGCCTTTGAAAATCTCATAAACCAACAGAAAACGTGACAAAATCTACGAAAAAGCAAGGGCATTGGCCGGGACCATGCCGCGACCAGCCCGGGATTCGAGCCCAGGACCATTTTGGACCGTGCTTATTTTCCCGCGCGGGTCGAGAGGGTGCCCCAAGATGTAAATCAATTGGGATGGCAGAATCTTGGACAATCCAGGTCACCATCAGGTCGCTATCAGGTCGCTCTTAGGTCGCTTTTAGGTCGCTTTTAGGTCGGGATTTCGTCACTGCAACAAGGGTCCTCAGGGGTAGGGGAGGTAAGGTCTAGGTCTAAGGCTAAGGACTAGGTCTAAGGCTAAGGATAAGGCTAAGGCTTAAGTCTAAGGCTAAGGCTAAGGCTTAAGGCTAAGGCTAAGGCTTAAGGCTAAGGCTAACGTCGACAGTCACGCCTCACCCCACGGTGTGGGGTCGGCGGATTCATTTCCTTTTGATTTTTTTTGATTTCGTTTTGATTCCTTTTAATTTGTTTTTGATGTCCTTTTGATTTCCTTTTAATGTCCTTTTGATTCCTTTTGATTTCCTGTTACGGAGGCCCAAAAGATGGCGCGGTCGAATCTCCGCTTTTTTTCTACAAAATAGGGCGCGTAATCATGGAGAACCTTCCTTTCTTTAAGCCACGGGGCGCATAGATGGCGCAACACACCTGAATGCCCCTGATACCTAAACCTGGCGCAATTAAAAAACGTCACCTCATCAATTTTCTCATCGGAGTATATGATGGGCGTTGAGGATTGTCAATCAAGAAAAGGATTCCAACCTCTGTGTCTCTCCAAGGTGGTGAACCGGCAGACCAGCCGTGCAAGTAAACTGGTTCGTCGTGTGCAGGGGCTGATCCAGGAGGTGCCGGCATTTGTGGAGGGAGAATGTGGAAGAGGCAGATGTCCACAACATACATAAACGATATGTAGCGGATTTCCTCCAAACAGATTCTTCCAGAGATTTTGGCCAGTACTATCTAGGCAATGCCAATGGTTGTCAGGGCACCAAGAGCCCCGAATTCAGACTTGGAATCTGGAATCCACAGTGTCACAGTCTCCTTGAAGTCTGACCAGTCTAGTGAAACCACTCACGTACACCGACCAGGCTTAGGTTTGAGGAGTGAATTTCTTCTACGAATCCATTGAAATCCTATTGGCTGTCTCAGATCGCATTGGTTTGAGCATGACATAGCTTGGGGATCTCTCCACCCAGTAGCAGGTGGGGTATACCGGTAATCGGAAGAACACATATGACATAGGATAGTTTCTGTGTCGATTCAGGTGGATGAGCTGCAAAAGCGCTTCAACGATCTTGGCCGAGGACCGCATGCATCAGATGGGTTTGTTGCAGACTGGAGCTCGTGTTCTAGCTTGTGTTTGGCTTGCCATCCCTCAAAAAGGAGGAAGTGATGTGCACTGAACCACCGAGCATTTCCAAAGTGCCAAGCAGCATTGAGCAGGGCTTTCCTGCTCCTTGCTAGCGACATCAGCATTTCTGAAATTCCTCAGCCAATTCCCCAGCCTGCCTGCTGAGTCGCGAGACGGGAGCGGGTGCAATAGGTGGGCTCACACCCTATGTAATCAAGGAACATCCTCAGTTCAGCATGTTTTGCATGGACGTAGGACTTCGTTCAAACTGACTCAAATTGAAATGTCAATCCTTTTTCACACTTTTTCCACAAAGTGGGGGGTCTTCATGGCTGCATGGTACTAAGGATTTGTAATATTCTTTCATGGAGTTCAGTTAGACTCTTCTGACCCACGTCCTATGCCCAAGTAATCGACTCCTAGTTCCAGTAATTCAACTTGAAAATAGATCTAGGCCCCCCGTCTGCCGGTCTCCACCCGTCCTGTGTGACTGATGGGACCTATGTCTTCTCAGCAGGACTGACCCGCGAGCGGGTGGTCCAGCGCCAGCAAGATCAGCGACAACAGGAGCTGCGACAGCAAAAGAACGACTCAGTGCCTCAACCGCACGGTGGATCACCGTGAAAACAAGGAAGAGATGTTGTTGTTGGTCTACCTGGTTGATGTTTGCACGATGTTGTTCAGACAGTTCAGTGGAAAAGGGTGACAGGTTCTGAGTTGTTGAGGATCCAATGTTGAGAAATGAAGGAATCTGACGATCGAAGATTGTTCCCTCGTTGACTGAGCACTCGTGAGTCAGGGCGAGGATTTGAGGAAGTCCTTTGGGCTCTCGTAGTCTAGAAGTTTATTGGTACACATGCTAACTTTCTTAATTGATCAGAACCTGGGCAATCCCGGCTCCTTTTCGTTTTAAAATGAATCAGGCGCCTGCGATGGGTACTAATCAGTGAAGCTGTATCCGGCACCAAGTGTCCAACATGAGCTTCGGCAACACTTTCTCAGCGAAGAAATGATATCCGCAGTCATGCCAGGAAGGGGTGGCACATGAATATCTTTTCAGCCCCGCAAAAAGGTATTTCAAGGTAATGTTAGTCCATCAATAATTAGATCCGTTGATCTTTCCTTTAAGCAGTAGAAGCCCACATAGATGTGCATAATCTACCTCTTCTGCCGGACCTTGAGTCCTTGAGCGGATGTTTTCGCTGAGGATCTCTTCTACCAGGCCATGGAGCTGCAACGGCAGTTTGCACAAGTGAGAGTGAAGATGCAGTGAACCTGATGAGCCGAGGATAAGCTTTCCACAGACATCAGTGAGTTCAGTGAGTCACTCAAAACAAGGACGGTGCTGCGCAGCAGTGCCACAACATTCTTTCCCCCTCAGGTAAACATCTGACCTGGTGAGGTATGTCTTCTGGTGGCTTAGGCTATATAATGGTCGTGGCCCACATACGCATCCCGCTTCTCCACTCATGTGTTGTGATCATCGTCGACGGCTTGGTCATTTTCCAAAGAAACCACCATCTCTTTCAGTTCATTCCAAAGACCACAAAGACTGCTAGCGCTCCAGACTTGACACATTTGATTTTGATGTGGAGTTAGAAGGGAGGAGGTGTTGCTCAGCTTAGTTTGAAGTTTTCCTAATCATCCGCGGGGCCAACAGGTATTTTACATGGATGAAATTGGGCGATAGGGGGCAAGGCTCCACCAAGGCTCAGTTAAAAAGCCTTTTGCAGTTCAACGCTGAAGATAGCATTTGGTGGCCAAATTTCTGTTTGGCTTTCCTGATTTGACACAGCAAGCGTTTTGGGCATCCAGTTGGCGTGGAAGATGCTTTGGCTTACACCAGATCATTTTGTTCGATAGACAGTGCTGATCAGTGTCAGGTTGATCACGATGCGGTCTCTCCGCCGAACCGTAGCAGTTTGCGCCGAATCGCCTCAGAGGGGCAACCGTTGGCGCGTTGGCACTGAGAGTTCAGTGTCGTTAACGACGTTTGTGCAACGGCAGGCGTGAAGAGGGGGACTGACCAGCTTGCAGGGAACATCTGCAAAGCCGAGCAGTTAGGATGAACGGGGAAGGAGAAATCATTTGTTGAGTTCATTCCTTTCAAAAGACGAAAGTACACCTTTCCTGCCGACATCTTCAATTTGTGAGTTGCTCCTTCGATTTGAGTGAGCTTGGACTGTGAACCTTTGGACCTTAACCCGTTTCAGAACCTTCAGAGGCCCTTTGTTCCTAGTAGCGTCCTTGCTCCTAGTAGTAAGGCCAGGTCCTTTGTTCCTAGAAGCGAACCCTAAGGTTTTTAGGGGTTAGGGTTTTGAAACCCTAAGGTCCAAGGCCCTTTGTTCCTAGTAGCGTCCTTGCTCCTAGTTGTTTCATTCTGCTTTTCATTCTGTTAAGAAGACAAGCCCTCAGCGGAGTGCAAGGTCCCAACTTTCTCCTGGCCAGAATCAACCAACGAGCGACGCGGTTGGCTGGGGGGGGGGCCTCCATTTACGGTACAGTATATCGAAGAGTGTGTATTTAGCATTAGACTGTTGTCAACTATGACAATCCTGGAGTAGACACAAGATATATTAAGATAGAGCAATTCAAAGGGATGATCATTTCCCCTTCTATTTTCAGGTGAAGGGTCTCCTCCACACATGTCTGCTGCCGCCCTGATCGATGCTACAAAGACCTAGCAGAGGTCTCACGGTCTGTGAAACGTGACGCAGGTGCGTGCGATCTTCGGAAAAAAGGAGGTCTTTGGCATGGTTGGACAGGTGGAGTTGTTGGGCATGTGGTGGAAGAGCTCAACGTTCCAAGTCTAACTCGAGGTTTAGACCCTGGCTGTGGGAAGCTGCTGAAGGATGCCCAACCCCAACTGACGAAACACCCACAACCAATGGGTGAATGTCTTCAGGAGAGTGAGCTGTGGAAAGGGGTCATAGACCTCTCGCAGTGAGACCCCTGGCCCCGAAGCTTGGAAAATCACATGAACCAAGGACCTACGAAGGATATCCGTTGACCGTATCGCATCGCTCGCGGGCTCCCGCTCAACATCGAAGACCGGACAATCGATGTGTTTCGTGGGACAATTGCAGGTGTGAACCGTCTCACGCGAACACACCTGGCCGAGGCGCGAGGTGCTGTTGCTACGTACGGTGAAAACGCGATGCATCGCGATGCAGGGGAAGGTGTGACCTCGCCAGACATCACCAACGAATTACACATGCACCTCGGAGTTTGGCACAAAATGGCACATGTTCGTCTTGTTGTTTCCATGCCTCTGTGCTTGTTGTTTTCGGTGGCACCGAACAGGGCTCCGAAGAACGGGTCATTGGACTTGACCACACCGCGCTTTTCCTCAGATCTTCGCCTCGAAGAGACTACCAGCCTTCCAGCGCCAGGGCCCCGACTGGAACAGGGGTCTCAGGGGTCTCAGGACTTGATGTTTTTGGTAATGATATTCTTTTTTTGGATTGCACCTCTCCTTGCAAAGATGGGCTTTGTGGCCTTGTTGTTGCGGCTAGTAGCATCCCAAGTTGCCGAAACGAGGCTCACGAAGAGGGAAGAACCTTCAGGGGGGGCAGTTCCTATATTGCATCAAGATGCTTCAAACTTAGGAAATCTTGGGAATGTCTCGCCATGAGGCCAATGAGTTTACTGTATTCCTTTTGGGGGGGTCAGAGTATGTTGTGGAAGGCCAAAAATCGACACTTGCCCTGACTTGGGAGCTTTTCGGAAAGTCATCATGAGGCTTGATTCAAGCAATTGACCAAATCAGGTGGTTTTGGAGAATCCTAAGTTGTTGATTTGGTCACTTTCCTTTGCACATGGGCGCGGTCATTGGATGCGCTCACCCCTCGAAGAAGGGCACTTTGAGCCAATTCCCGAACATTAATGGCGGCAATGATGGTATGCCCGGGATAGGAATCATCCCCTTTGTTGGTGGGCATGTGACTTTAGAGGCAAAAGCCCACCGGGCCTTGGGTGGACACACCAGAAGTGGTGATATGAAATGCTCTGGCTTCGCGGTGCGCATACCACATCAGGTTGTTGCTCTGTTCACGCGTTTGTCGGGTATCGGTATGGGGCATTTGGATTGTTCAAAGAGCCAATGAGCAGGGCATAGAAGTATTCAACTAAATGGACGAGCAGTCGAACAAGTGGTTTGAGTGCCACCCAGGTGTTCAAGATTCTTTACTATAGAGGATAATGTAGCAGCGTAGCGGCACTGCGAGACAGAAGATTTCTGATTCAATGAGACAGCATTTTGTTTTGAGTTCCTCGATGTTTTTCACCCGCACGTCGGATCTGAATGGTTTAGACTGTCCGAAGAGTCCCCATCGCTTGCTGGTGGCACAGAACTCACAGTCGGGTTTCACTCTTCGATGCAATACTTTTTAAAGGTTGATACAATTCTTCAAATCATCATCCACCATGCAGTAGCGTTCATGCTTTTTACATTTTTTTTGCTTTTTAACCAGGACGAGTGATGGGTCATTTTAAACACGGACTTTCTTCAGGGGGGTTCCAGGTTGGTGTGGTATACAGTATGGTTAAGGGTGCAATTCCCACAGAGGTCGGGCCCAAATGCCATGTCTTGGAGCACACTGTAGAGCTGCCACTCATCTTAAGGCAGAAAGTCCACTCATCTGCCACACTCTGTCTCCAGGCGTCGAGTGGATCGCGGATGACAAGTGTGTTTGCGTCTTTGCCAACAAAGAGGCAACGTGTGGGCAGGTTTGGACTCGTTTGTGGAAAGCTGGCCCTAAACGCATCAGGTCGAACCAAGAGGTGTTGAGTAGCACTTCCGAATCCGGGTTGGTGCGCTCGTTCTTCCGTCCGGCCAACGCGTTTGTAGACTTTGAGTCCGAAATTGAAAGGGTCAAACGGTGGAAGTGGATGGCCTCCAAACCTAATAGCGATGGCCTCCAGACCTCAAGCTTCTTCTTCTGTGATGCACAGTCCGAACTGCCGGCTCGAGACAGGCCGCCACGGGCAAGCCGTGAAATGATGACACTCTTTTGAAGCAACTTCGACTAGATCTAAAGACACGATTGGTGATCTAGTCAGTGCAAAGATCCCAGCATCCTTTCGTATCCTCGTTTTCAGGATTCTCCGCCGACTCGCCATTTCCACACCTGCGACTTGCAGCGGGGCTTGTCCTTGGACACCGCTCTCCATGGAGCTGCCTCCGGTGAATCAGGATGTCGTTGGGATCCAAGAGGCACGGCACCGAAGCGATGCATTCGTCTCGGGACTGGTGGAACCCTCAAAAGAATTCCCAGGACGCGATATACGTGGGACATATACTATATATATATATAGATGCCGACATGGATGCCTGAAAGCACGTGTCCGTTGCCCCCCTTCAAAACTCTCCAGAAAGCTAGAGGCACCAATGAATGGATGAGAAGATAGCAGGTTATCCAACTCGATCAAGACCTCCAAGCAAGGCGAATTCAGGTCTGAGAGCCTGGGCCCACAGTGCCCACGGAACTTCTGTGCTCCGACCGCTCCAGGCTTTGAGGTCTTACGGCGCGGCAGCGCGGTACTCGGCGCCCGACTCGCCCCCCCCCCGCGGCGGCGGCGCGAGAAGCGCAGTCGGCGCCCAAAGTGGAATCCTACCCGGCCTTCTTGAATGTCCAGGCCTGGGTGATTTATTGCATTTGCAACCTGATTTTGTCTTGGCCTGGGTGGTTTTTTTAAGTGTTCGGACAGAAGAAGTTGGGGGATTGGAAGGATCCCAAGCCCTTTTTCGACTGCAAGGCCCCTCCAGAGGACCATTTGGAAGAGGTGCGGGAGAGACGCTTACGGCTGATGGCTCAAGAGAAGGCCCGCCGGCAAGCGCGAAATCGAAAAACTGCTGGCTATGCGATCCAAGAGCCTGGACAGCCACCAGCAGCATCGATTCTTGAAGTTGAGAACTCTTTCAACTGTTTCATCCCCGATGAAGGAACCTGCTTCAAGCAGGATCCCACGAACAACAGCAAAGGGTCGAGGAATGCTCCAAACTCATCCCGCGTTTCTGTGTGAAGTGCTCAGAATCTCTCTGATCATAGTGTTTGCTGCCCCTACCACCCAGGTATATGATCCTGGACCGGCTCCGGAGCCCAGACCAGCTCCACGGCCTGCAGCTCCGGAGCCCGGCTTTGCCGAGCGCGCGGCCGAGGCGGCCTTCGCTGCCCGGGTGGCACGCGGAGCGTACGAGCATCCGGGGAGCGTGGGACAGCGTGCGGACCCCGAGCTGGTCCAGCCGCGTCTGAGTCGCAACGACGACTTTAACGGCCTCTGGATGGATGACACCGGGAAGAGCTACGAGCTACAGCAGGTCGGCTCGGTGGTGACGGAACAGCGGCAGCAGAGCTATGGTATGGCCATGCAAAACGAGCTGACCATGTTCGGTGCCATTGGGACCCTGGTGGACGACCTCATCCGTTGGTCGGACGGCAGCGTTTGGGCACGCGAGGCGACGACGGGCGAGGGCGGCAGCTCCGGTCCGCACCGCTCGGGCGCCAACTTGGGCTCCCTGGGCGGCTTCGCGTGGAAGGCCGCGGCACGGCGGCAGCGCCTGGCGCCAGAGCTGCCAGAGCTCTTCACGGCGCCTGCAGGGCCAGGGCCAGGGCCAGACATGTCAGGGGACTGGGAGGAGACCAAACAGGAGAATGAG